CAGGGAGAACAAACCAGGCCCAGGCACAGCTGGCTGGGGCGGGTGGGATGAGGAAGGAGGTGCAAGGTCTGCTGGTGCCTCAGGGCTTGAGGTCGTTTTAGTGACTTTGACTTTTTATCCTGTTTTCAAGAGCTCTGAGGGCCTCCAGCAGTAGGTTTGTGTTTTATAGTAACTGGAAACATTAATATAATGTCATTTAGGCTTTGCAGAAGCTCCACGGGAAGCTCACAGTGGTATGTGAGGCCCTTTCTCAGGAAGCACCACCAGGACCATTCCATGTGTTTAACTCTGAGCCTGCAGACACCTTCCCATGGCTTCCCCCCAACTGGAGCACTCAGATCTAGTTATTTACCTCTTAGGTACTAATTTAGAATAATTCAGTCTCTTCCATTTTAGCATAATTTGCAGTAATGGTGTGTACCAAGTGAGCTCCTTCTTTGACTACTGAAATACAAAAATCCTGGAAGGATATGAGGAAGCAAAGGGCTGTTTCTTTTTTAACACACACACTATACGTGGATAGTAGATCTATATTCTCTCTATTCTTCATCTGAACTTTTCTCTTCCTTGAAATCAAACGGTGCATCCTGATGTGAATTAAGTTGCTGGTACTGCTTTTTGGCCTGTAATCAGGTGATGTTTTTGTCCTGTACATGACTCGGGTCCGATGACCCAGGAATTTAAGGTGGATTGTGAACCAGCTGAGGGTCTGGCTCCCCTGCCGAGTGGCTGTGTGGGGAAGGGAGGGATGTGGTGCCTTTCAGTCCACAAGCACTGTGTGTGTGTTAAGTGTTTCTCTGTCTTGTGTTCATCCACAGCTGTGATTAGTGCTCATCCCATCCATTCACTCGATAACCCCCACCACCATTTCCACTCCGGCAGCCTCGCCTCTCCAACCCGCAGCTACCTCCACCACCAGCCCAGCCCCTGGCCCCTGGGCACGGCCTTGTCCCACTCAGACAGGGCCAATTCCACAGGTGAGACACAAACCACCAGGGACGTGTTGCTTTCATGGAACCGGGAGCAAAACGTGTGGAAATCAAAGCCTGAAACTCGGTCAGTCCCCACTGTGGTGTTCCATGAGGTTTAAGGACGTGGGTGTAAGTGCAGACAAAATCCTGGATAGGTTGAGCTTACTTGTGCAGATCCTTGAGGCACATGATGGAAGAGGAAGCTCCGTGTTTTATACACAGCCACAAACAGGAGGATTCCTTATGCTAAAGCCTTCAGCCCTGAAACACCAGATTAAATCTGAGCTACTTAATGTGGTAACTTTTTCCCTGGTTAGTACCATTTCAAACCAAGAGAGGAGAAAGGTCCAGACTTGGCTACTGAGAGCTGACATTTGTTAACCTTCCTGAGGGACACAGAAAATGGGGGTGATTTCCATGCAGTATTTTCAGGCCTGAAGCACAATGAATTGCAGTAGTTTCTGCAATGTCTCCAGTGCTCTGAAGATTTCTGAAGCCACACTGTTGCTAAATTGCACGTGGGTAAAATGTTGAGTTGGAGGGAAATCTGAGCTTTTCTAGCTTAAGGTCAACCTTCTAAGGTGTCGTAGCCAAAAGTGTTGTTTCCTTATGAGAACAGTTCCTGAGGCTGCAAGGACACAGGGAGGCAATATGTGAGAGGCAGAGGTTTATAGCAGTGAAGTGACAGCTCCCACAATCCAGATCCTTCCCTGCCTGTGCTCCAAGTAGGATCACGATGCCCTGAATGTAAGATACCATCTCATTATTCTCTCAGGTCAGCGTGGAGCCTGCTGCAAACACACCAAGCCTGGGATTTCATTTGAGCTTGAGTTTGAGCTTTCAGCAAGTAGGAAGAAATTCTTAGGAAGAAGTTCTTCCCTGTGAGGGTGGAGAGGCCCTGGCACAGGTTGCCCATTGAAGCTGTGGCTGCTCCATCCCTGGAAGTGTTGAGGGCCAGGTTGGATGGGGCTTGAAGCAACCTGGGATAATGGAAGGTGTCCCTGCTTATAGCAGGGGATGGAATTAAATGATCTTTAAGATCCCTTCCAACTCAAACCATCCTGTGACTCCAGGTAAATGGATTTCAAGCCTGTCTCAGAAAAAACTCAGGCTCCTGTGTCTGCACTAGTGCTTGGTGTGAACCTTAAATTACAGATTTGGTTACAAATGCCAGTACTATGAGATGCTCAAGGGCAGAAGGAGAACGAATGTTTGTGTTCTCTGCTGTTTTATCTGAGGACTTACTCCATGGAGCTGTTTCAGTGCAGAACTGTTGATTTGCTCTTGGTGGGGGTGTGGAATCATTCAGTTCTCAGCTCGTATCACTAGACAGCCGTCGTTCACTGTAAAACAGGGCAGTCACACAGAACTGGGGTTATATCCGAATTCCCTTGGTACCTGTAACAGTGACCCTGGAAGAGGTGCTTCCCAGTAGCCTGCTGTGTTTCCATGTGCCCCAGAGGCCCTTTCTGAGCAGCCAGTAACTGCAGTGTGTGTGTTGCAGAGTCCGTCCGGAACACGCCCAGCACGGACACGCTGCCGGCGCCCTCGGCCCCGCCGGGCACCGACCACCAGGACCCCGAGGGCTCCACGGGCTCGTACCTGGGCACTGCCCAGGAGGAGGACCCTGCCCAGGGCCTGCCCACTGCCCACGTCCGCCCGTCACACCCGCTCAAGAGCTTCGCGGTGCCCGCGGTGCCCCCGGCCGGGGCCTCCTACGACCCTGCCCTGCCCAGCACCCCCCTGCTGACCCAGCAAGGTGAGGGGGACGGCACCGCTGCCAAAACAGGGGGGGTTTAACAGGGAAGGTCCTTGAGGGGTGGGGGGTGGAGTTGGGCACCCAAGGCAGTGTATCAGAGGCTGCAGTGAGTTCTGTTGGTGTCATTTTCAAGGCCTTTTTCTGTACGTAAATAAATTGGACAAAAATTCGGATCCAACGCTCCAAAGTTTAAGTGTTCACTTTCTTCTAATACAATCTTTCTTCATCATAGAATCATGATAGAATGGTTTGGGTTGGAAGGACCTTAAAGCTCATCCAGTCCCACTCCTGCCATCCAACCCATCCAACCTGGCCTTGGACACTTCCAGGGATGAGGCAGCCACAGCTTCTCTGGGCAACCTGTGCCAGGGCCTCACAGGGAAGAATTCCTTCCCAATATCCCATCTAACCCTGCCCTCCTTCAGTTTAAGGCCGTCCCCCCCTGTTCTTATTCTCTTCCTTTCTGATTAAGCCCAAGAACCAATTCCCTGAGGCCTGACTCTCTGACCATTGTTTCCAGCTCCCACCCACCCCGTTCACTCGGTGAAGACCGCGTCCATCGGGACCTTGGGAAGGACTCGCCCTCCCATGCCCGTGGTCGTTCCCAGTGCCCCCGACGTGCAGGAGACCACCCGGATGCTGGAGGACTCGGAAAGCGTAGGTACTTCCACTGCCAGGCCTGGCCTTGCAGTGCTCACAGACTGGGGGGGGTGGTGTGTGTCTCCTTATTTGTGTCATACTTGGAAACTTCAGGAATTCTGCACTGACACAGGGCTCCAGACTTCCAACACCCCCATTGCCTGTGAATCCATATAAAAAGTACAGGGCAGGGCCCTGTTATAACCCTGCTGCTGCAGAGCATTCCCAGCGTCACTGCACGTGGAACATTTGGCACTAATGCCAACGTGTTTTAAGCATCATCCCAAATATGTTTGTAGTCTCTCCTGTGAAAGTGTTCTGACTTTTGGGAAAGATGCAACCACCTGTTGGGCTGCTTTTGGGAGTATCTGTTAAGGATGTTGAGGATGTTTTGGGTGGGAGGCACTGAAAGAGCTGTTTTCCTTTCAAATTGCAAGCCAAGAAGTTTCTCCAGTAGTACTGGATCACTAGAATCATATACTGTCTTCAGTATCACACAGGTATTAGCTCTGATCACTGCTACAGGAAATGATTATTTTGAATTTATTTTACTTTTTTTCCTCATTGTCCTTTTCATTTGTCACAAGTTTTTGTTGCCCTCTTGATTTTCTTTCTGCGTTTGCTGGTCTAGAAACTTGATCTGGTGCCCTTTTGCCCTTCTGTCTAGATGTCACTCCTGCTTTATTTGTTTTGTTTGGTCAGTACCAAACCCTTACTCATTAGTTTATCCATCAATAAATTGGTAATATTCAAATAGAGCCATTAATAAATTTGTTCATTGATAAATTAGTACAAGGTAGAGTCAGCACACTAAATACTAGTTAAATTAAATTGCTAGTTCAAGTATGAGTTTTGAAAATTAAATTATAAGTTGAATTAAGGGGTTTAGGGTTAGGTAGTGATTTGAATTAACTCTATTTTTTTATGAGAGCCTGTAGGAATGAGTTTACTTTCAGCTGCTGCTGTTTATCATTGTCAGATAATGTGTTGGACCCTGGGCAGGGATGACTTTTCTGGTACAGTCCAGATGTTTGATAAACTGGAGGTTCATTGCCATTTAAATTAGGAGAAGGTTTGTCTCTAGAAGGAAAGGAAGTGAGAGCAGGGTCAGGTTGAAAACTGCACAGAACTGGGAAGGACTTGGTCAGAAAAGGTTTGGAGCTGCCGTGGTTCATGGTGTGTCTGCACACAGGCACTGATCACAGAGGTGATGGCTCATCAGTGCAGCTGAAACTGGACCTCTGAGCCTCAGACACTGTGATTTCAGGGAGGGTAATGATTCTCAAAACATTTCTTTTGAGGTGATTCCTTTGACCTGCTTTCCAGTTAAGCTGGGAAGACTTTTCTAAACTGCCTACTCTGGTTCAAAGGCAGTTGTTCCCTTCAGGGATCGAGACAAGGAAAACAGATCAGCTGATCATGGTTTATTCAGTGGGACTCTGAGTCACAACTGCCCAAAGAGCTGCACTGAAAATAGAATCAAAGAATAGAATATGCTGAGCTGGAAGGGACCCACAAGGATCATCAGTCCAAATCCCACCCTGTCCCTGAGAGCATTGTCCAAACCCTCCTTGAGCTCTGGCAGCCTTGGGGTCGTGCCCACTGCCCTGGGGAGCCTGTTCAGTGCCCAGCCACCCTCTGGGGGAAGAACCTTTTCCTACTGTCCAACCTAAACCTCCCCTGGCACAGCTCCAGCCACTCCTTAGAGTGTTCTTTCAAGTTATTAATTCCTGTAACTGTGGCTAAATCCAATCCACGTGTGGTTATTCCCGAGTCAGAGCCATATCCCACAGCAGTCCCTGACCATTCCTCTGTGTTTCCTGTCCTGTCCCTCCCTAAGGAGAGCCAAGGCCCCCTGTAGTAACCCTCTCCCTCTCCCCAGACCTACGAGCCGGATGAGCTGACCAAAGAGATGGCCCACCTGGAAGGACTGATGAAGGACCTCAATGCCATCACCACGGCGTGACCACCTCCCCGGGACATGACTCCAAACCGCTCCGCAAGTCGTGGGACTCAGCCTTGGAACGCAAGGAATTGTACAGAGGAAAAAAAAAAAAAAAGGAAAAAAAAGAGAAAAAAAAACAAACAACAAACCAGAAAGAGGGACAGCACATGAGAGCAATGTGGGAAGGAGAGGAACCAACCAGAGGGGACCTGTGTGTCACCGTCCTGCAGTGAAGTCTTGGCCCTGTGAATTCCAGTCCCTGTGGGCCGGGCGGGATGGGACACACCAGGCTGGACTCCAGACACAAGGAAAGCAAACGGACTCGCCGTTAGTTTTGTTCTGGTCAGGTTTTGTCTCAGTGGTGTGATTGCCCTGCCTTTTCAGTGTTGGACATTGGCATTTATGTACAATTTTATTTGTGTTTTTATTTTATCTTTTTTTATAAAAAGGAAAAAAATATTGTAATTAAAAAAAAAAAAAAAGGGAGAAACTGTTGTTTTCCACAGCCTAGGCTGAGGTTTGACTGCTTGTTCTATTGTGTATGGAAATTCATTGCCAGTGTGGGTTGTTCTGTTTTGTTTTTTATTCTGCGTACAATTACGTCCCCTTCTGGCAGTTAATCCATGGCCTTTTGGGATGCTGCACTGCTCTTTGTAAGCTTTTTTTATTATTTTTATATTATAATTATTAAAAGCCTGACTTTCTCCTCTCATCACTGTGAGATTACCAGTCTGTTTGAATTGAAATGTAATTTGAAAGGCTTGTTTGTCGCTTTTTGTGCAGTTTCAATATTTTGAGTGGGGGGAAAAGTAGCTGGGGAAGGGGAGGGGGTCCAGGGGGAGGGGTCATTCCTGTTGTTTTCATGTCTTTCTCCAGTGACTGGAAAGACTGAAGAATATGAAGCATCTTCTGTAACGTCCTTCCTTGTCCCTTTAGCATCACTGTGTCTCTGGTCACTGAACTGCAGTGAGAGTCTCATTTAGAAACATTGCCAGAACTTCCTCCTGTAAATTGGGGTTCCTTATGCTTAGATGACACTACATGCAGCTTATTTTGGCAACTGTTTTGTTGTTGTTAGCTAAAGATGCATCATGAACCTTGCAAGTGCAGAGTGAGGGCTCAGCACAGGCCCCAGGGCTGGGGTGGAGCTCCCTGGGCTCTCAGGAGAGAACTGTGGGCCCTTCCATCCCCACACACCACATCCTGCCCATGGGAACACTCCCTGCCCACAGCAGCACGTCCAGCCCCAGTGCAGCGTCTCCATCCCAGGCCACTCAAACAAGGGCCAGCTCTGGAGTATTCCCCAGAGACAAAAACAAGGCAAAAATGTATTTTTTTACACTTTGGAAAACCATGTAAAAAGAAAACCAGTATTAGTGACTCAGGTGCTGTTCACAGATCTGTCTGGAAAGGAAGGGAAGGTCAAAGGGAAGGACAAGGGTTTTCCTTTTCTCCATGTGTGATTACCTGGCTCTGCCCTTCCCTGGAAAGGGGCTGTAGCTCAGTAAAGTAACCAAACCCACCCACAGGTGCCTGATGAACTCGTGTGCAATTCCACTGCCAGAACAAAAGGAAACTCCAACTTACTGCTGGTTCAGAGGGGAATCTGTTCCTCCTGGGATTTGGGATCTCGGGGCCAGGCAGGTCTGGGTGCTTTGGGGACCCTGCTGTGGCTCTGCCAGGGCTGGGCCTGTGGGAGCAGCAGGAGGGAATGCTGGAACTGCTGCAGCTCCAGGAACAAACAGGAGTTCTGCTGCTTTTACTTTGTTCCCCACTGAACTGAACTAAAGCTTCTCGTCTCCAAGAGAGGGGAGAGCCATGGAATCACCTGGAGAGCAGCTGGGATGGTGCTGTAGTGTCACTTCCTTTCTTTTCCTGGACTCTGTGTTGTCATTTCTGGGACATTTCCTGCCTTTATTTATTCTTTGAGGGAGGGGAGGGAATCAAATTAATTGGGGCACTGTGGGCCACCTGGATAACTGATGTTTAGACTTTTAATCAGTACAATTCAGGGCAAAATAAGCTACAGAATATGTGTTTAAAGAATAAAAATGCACACCCTGACCTGGAAGGAGGGTGTGAACCTTTTCCTTTGCCTATTTTTTACCTGTACCCAAAGAAATACCATCCTACAAACACAGTATTCCTGGCTGGGGGGGGGGGGGTGTCTTTGTGAATATTCCTTATGTATAACACCATGAATGTTAATATTGTCATTGAATTTGGGGAGGGGGAATATTTTTAATGATAAAACAACTGTTCAAAGTTGGTTTTTTAAGGTTAAACTGAAAAAAAAAAAAGAAAAAACATTTATTCAATTCAGTGTACAATCTGTATTGCACTTTTTCACATTTTAATGCTACGTTTTCTTACATATCCTGTGATTTTAAATTTGGAACATTGTGTATCCTTGTAGTGTCATAGTCAAGCTGTTGAGTGACAGCTTCCCTCAGACATTTGGGGAAAAAAAGAACCAAACCTGTATATTGTTTTATGATTCTCATGTAGAATAATTTTGAGGGCTGCTGTAGATGTCGACCTTTCTGTACAATTTTTCTTTGCTTTTCTGTAGTATTTGCTGTATCCTCTATGGCTTTTTTTAATAACTTCATGTTTATTATTTGGTATTGGACATCCAATACACTTTTTTTAATCCAATCAAATTCTGGGCTGCTTGGAGAGTTTGTTTAATTATTCCTAATCGATACAGGGACCAGGTTTGGAATTTTACTTGCCCTTTTTGTTGCTGTGGGTTGGTAGGTTGTGTCCTCCAGAGAAGGAAGAGGAAAATTGTTACTCTCCCTCAGTCTTTGTGCAGACACTGAACATGTAACCTCTGCCTTCCCTCTATTTCAAAGGTAAAAAATACCACCTTTTAATAAGCAAGTAGAGAAGGAAGGGGTTCACATCAGGGGAAGGACATTTAGTAGCCTTAGTAAACTGGTAAATCATGAAAAATAATACTATAATCATGGAATAGAGTGCTTTGTCTGTACCTTTTGAAGTGCAGCGATGGGTATCCGGGTTGCTCCCCTGTTGCTGACTCCAACCTCCTTCTCATACTGGGGACTCCCACTGGTCATCAGCCACTTTCCTGGTCACTCGTGTCCTTGGGAGCATCATCCTGACCCCTGCAAAGAGGAATTATGCTCCTGCAGGCTTTACAGCCCCTGCTCCCCTCGCTGTTCATCAGAGCCCTCTGTTACTCATTAAATTGGGCCCCCACACTGATGTCTCGGGTGGGAAGGGACTCCCAAATCCTCCTGAAGGGGAGCCAGGACCTGTGGCTGGGCAGGGATGTCACAGCCATGCCAGAGCTGGGGGCTGTGCAGGGATGTGTCCAGGGGAGGAGAAATAGGGAGCAAAGGCATTGGGAGTGTCCCAAGGCACAGCCAGGACACAGACAGGCAGATTAAAACCCTGCCCTCTATTTACTGACCTTGAGCTCTGAGCAAGGTGTCCCTGCCCATGGCAGGGGTTGGAATGAAATGAGCTCTAAGGTCCCTTCCAACTCAAACCATTCTGGGGTTCACATGGAATCACTGAGGTTGGAAAAGCCCTCCAAGGTCAGCGACTCCACCCTGTGCCCCATCCCCATCTTGTCCCCCAGCCCAGAGCACTCAGTGCCACGTCCAGTCATTCCTTGGACACCTCCAGGCGTGGGGACTCCACCACCTCCCTGGGCAGCCCCTTCCAATGCCTGACAGCCCCTTCCATGAAGAAATTCCTCCTGATGTCCAACCTGAACCTCCCCTGGCACAGCTTGGGGTTGTTTCGTCTCCTCCTGTCCTTTGTTCCCTGGAAGCAGAGCCCGACCCCCCCCCCCGGCTCCCCCCTCCTGTCAGGGGGTTGCAGAGCCAGAAGGTCCCCCCTGAGCCTCCTTTTCTCCAGGCTGAGCCCCCCCAGCTCCCTCAGCCGCCCCTCACAGCACTCGTGCTCCAGGTTCTACGATACAAAGTGAGTTTATCTCGCCGGCCAGTGCAGATAACTCCCGGTGCTGCTCTGCCCGTCAGTCCGGCTGACAGAGGGTGGGTTTGTGCCGTTCTGAGGCAGGTGACAGGTGACACCTGCTTTCATGTCACAGGGCTGTGGCACAGCCCGGGGACACCAGATGGCAGCGGTGACTCGCTGCTGAAAGGCTGCAGCTCACACGGAGCCCGCACGGAGCTGCAGCCGCCTGGAAGGGAATCACTGCTGAGGAGCCTCGAGTTAGCGCTGCTGCTCCTCAGCGGCAGCTCAGGGAAGAACTCGAGCTGCAAATTACAGCTTTTCCACGCCCGGCTCTGGCTTTCCCTGCCAGCGCTGTGGCTCCCAGCGCAGAAGGAAGGGGCTGCCTCAAACACCTGCAATAAATTGGTGCAACACTTGCAGGCTTTTTCCCATTAAGAGCAGCCATCCATCTCCACATGAACTGAGGCTGGATTTAAACCACATTCATCTCCATAAAAGCAATCCTGCAGGGGCTCGACGGGATGTAACTCAACAGCCTTTGCCAAAAATATTAACCATTACAGCTTTTCATAGGGTCCTAGAATGGTTTGGGTTAGCAGGGACCTTAAAGCCCATCTCCTTCCACCCCCTGCCATGGGCAGGGACACCTTCCACTAGCCCAGGTTGCTCCAAGCCCTGTCCAACCTGGTCTTGGACACTTCCAGGGATGGGGCAGCCACAGCTGCTCTGGGCAATCTGGGCCAGGGCCTCCCCACCCTCACAGCCAACAATTCCTTCCCAATATCCCATCTATCCCTGCCCTCTGGCAGTGGGAAGCCATTCCCCCTTGGCCTGTCCCTCCATCCCTTGTCCCAAGTCCCTCTCCAGCTCTCCTGGAGCCCCTTTAGGCTCTGGAAGGGGCTCTAAGGTCTCCCTGGAGCCTTCTCTTCTCCAGGTGAACACCCCCAGCTCTCCCAGCCTGTTTCTGTGGGATCAGGGCTCTCCTAATCCAACACAGGCTCCAGCCAGGTTACACATCTCCCCTCACTACACAGTATCAGCTGTGGGACTTTTATAAGCCAAGCTCTGAGCTGCAGAGTGCCTCTCTAGAACCTTCCAAAAGCATACACAGCAAAATTCCTGCCTCCAGAAGAGCTTCCCAGCTCTCCAGAGTGCTGCTCTCTGGAAATCCAGGGGACAGACATCACATGCAGGGCTGACAGGGCAGAGGCAGCAGCAGAAGCAGCAGATTTGGAAAAGGAAAGTCAGCCCTTGGCAGGCACAATGCGGAAAAGTGTCCATGAGAACACGCACATAAAAGTGAAAGAGTGGAAAACATCCACAAATTCAGCCTTGTGAAAAGGCAGGGAAAGCCTGAATGCCAAAGGGGGCCAGGGAGACAGACTAAAATCCAAGGAGGGGGAGCAAAAAAGCCTTCAGCCTATTAGAATGCTGTTGGACCCCCCTGCTGTGAGGAAACGTGTTCTTCACCAGCTGAGAGTGACTCTCTGACCCTGCACAGGTGCCTGCACAGGGCTGGAAGCAGCTGCACTAGGACAATAACCTGCTCCCTGTCCTTTGGTAACCAAGAATCAACTTTTCCCGGTTGCTTCCCAATTTCAGCTCCTGTTTCCCAGCCTTCTTCCAGCACTCACTGCCTTTCCTCCAGCTCTCCCTCTCCACAGGCACAGTGTCCATGAAACCTGACTCCCACAGGGCTGAAACTTGGAGCAAATGCTGATTTTCCTTGATAATTCCTTAGGAGGAAGCCCTGTTCCCCAGCCAGGCTGTCTCAGGACATCCCCCCCTCAGGCAGGTGCTCTGAGTTGGGCACAGGGCCAGTTCAAGCACAGATGCACCAGTGACACAAGCGCAGCCTTGAGAATGGCAGGTGCTGCTGCTCCAGGGGCTGCAGAGCTCTGTCCCTGCCCCACACACCCCTGGGTACAGCCTCCTGCCCCACACACCCCTCCCTGGTCACAGCCTCCTGCAGCAGCCCCAGCACGGGGAAGGCTGGGAGAGTTAAACGAGGCATGCAGAGATGTGGCAATAAAATCATCACACATGAACTTAATCCAGATCAGCAGGACTCACCCTCAGCAGGCTGCAGACAGGGTAAGGCTGGGCTGCCACAGGCTGTGTCCCTTTTTCATTTTAGGCTGGCTGTCAGTGCCTCCACCTCCTATAACTTCATCTTCCCCTAGAGGTGAGGTGGGGTCTTCAGTCCTGGGCTGCAAAGCTGAGGGGAAAAGAAAGAGAAACCCCATTAGTGACTTCAGTGGCTGTCCCTGGCTCGTGGGTCCTGACAGAGCTGGAGCATCCAGGCAGAGGTGTTGGAAAACCCTGACCTGAGTTCAGACCCCCTCGGGACCCTTTCAAAGGGAGCACGAGGCTGCTGCTAAGGCCAACCCCCAGGTCTCATCCCGCAGCAGGAGAGGGGGACTGGGGAGGGGACAACACCCGGGGGGGCTGCCGGACCCGGGTTTGTGATCAGACACACGCCCTGTGCCCCGGCCAGGGAGAGCCCGGAGAGGGGCTTCCCCACGGAAACCAGGGATGGCTGCGTTCCCGACAGCATCCTCTCGGATCCTGTTATCTCTGCGCGTGAGGAAAACACCAGAGCCCATCTGTCCTCGGTGGGCACCGTCACCATGGTAACAGCATCCGCTCCATCCATCCCGGCTCTGCGGAGGACGGCGGGGCCGGAGCTCCCTCCCGCACAGGGGTTTCCCTGGCAGCTGCTGCTGCTTTATCAGGCACATCCCTGCTCCCACACCGATCCCATCAATCTGTCTGCCGTGAGGATGTGGAGCCTAGAAACAAAAAATCCCTGTCGCTGGAGAAGGGCACCGAGCAGCTACCAGGGAAACCTTCCCAAGGGCTTTCCATCATCCCATATGGTGCCCTCTCCCAGCACCCCCCAACCTCGAGGGCTGTCCCCCAGCAGCTGGACCATATCCTGCCTCCCCCCTTTCACCCCTTGGCTGCTCCTTCAGGTTTCTCCATCCCCTTCTGAAGAGCCACACAGCCCTCACAGCATCCCCATGCCCTGGAGACCAGGCTGGAGGCACAAGGAGGTGCTTCACAGGGGCTTCCATGGCTGCATTCCCTTCTGGATCCCTATGGATTTGCTGCCCTCCCTTGCCCAGGTCTGGGCACCAGCACAGATAACTGGGGTGGTTCTTCCCAGTTGGGAAAAACAGGAAAAAAACTCAGCTGGTGCAGCCAGTGCTGGGAAAGTGGGGCTGGAAGTGCAGGGAAGGTGGGGAAGCCAAAAAGGACAAGGCATGCCCAGACACGGGGCTGGGGGGGAAATGCTGCCCTGTCCTGGCCCCAAACCTGTGGGCATGGAGGGGACCCTAAAGACATGGCACACAGCCCAGGTACCAACACACAGCACCTTCCAGAACCTTCCACTCCAACCACACCCCCCACACCACCTCCCAGGGCAGCCATGTCCTGGGGGCAGAGTGCCCAGTGTGGACTGGGAGCACAGAGCCAGGACTCAGCCTTTCCCCACAGCTGCTTCCAGCAGCCAGGAATTAGAAGGACCACCAGCATCCCTCAAAAAGTGGGCTTAAAGTAAGAAGCCACCCCAAAATCCCACCACCCCTATTACCTGTGCAGACCTAGAAAAAGCTGCTGTTTGCTGCAAGGACTGGAAGAGGTCACACTGAACCCTGCCCCTGTGCCCCACCCTCCCCAGGTGCTTCCCATCTTCACCCCCAATCAGGGCCCCCATTATGGGCATCACCTGAGTGCCCCACCCTTCCCAGGTGCTTCCCATCTTCACCCCCAATCAGGGCCCCCATTATGGGCATCACCTGAGTGCCCCACCCAGCTGCTCATGCCTGGGGCTGCTCTGCCCACCCAGCTGGGCTTTGGTTGCTGCAGTGGAGTGTCCATGGGATGAGGGCTGGAGTGGGGACATCGTTCCCAACCAAGGTTGCTTTAGGAGCTGTGAGATCTGCTGGGATCTAGTAAAACCCATTAAGCAAAGAATAGCACCAGGATAAACTAGAACTGGGTGCTGAGTCCCAGGGCTTGTGACTCATGGGCTCTCAGAGGATATTCCTGAGTGCCCAAGGCTGGTGTCTGCCTGTTTTCATACTACTTGAACCAAACTCTATGATTTTGGAGACCACTTTGCTGGGGACAGGGAGCTAAAAATGTGTGTGTTGTGTCCCCAGGTCTCCCTGCAGTATCTGCAGCCCTGGCAGAGCACCTTCATAGAGCTAAGTATGTATGTCCTCAGTTCCACAGCCTTTCCAGGAGCACAAGGATCATGAAATACCAAGTTGTCCTGACACTGAAACCTTTGACATGAACCATGAGGCAGCAGGGAAAGGGTTAATAATCCCTCAGGACAGTGTTCCTGCCTGGCAGTGCAGCCATGAGCACTGTCCTGACCCTACACCCATGCCCCCTCTCTCCCCAGGAGGGGTCCCGTGTTCCTAGCAATACATCCAGGCTGCTCCTGGGAGGAGAGGGGAAAGCAGGAATTGCTTACAAAGGAGCAGCACTGGAGCCCTGTCCTGCATCTTTCCTCCTAAGAACAAGAAATCCCACAAGTCCGTTCGGCCCTTCCGGCTCTGGTGGGTTTGCTCCAGCAGCACCTGGATGTGCTGTACCCCCACCCCATGGAGCTGTTCCCAGGATGGGGAGGCAGCTGGGCCAACCGGAGCATCAGCAATAGCAGGGAGCAGCTCCCAGATCCCTGGGGGCTGGAGCGGCCCCAGTCAGCCCTGAGCCTTGCAGAGGAGCCGACAGGGACGGACACCACCCTGGGGCTGCAGCGGGTGGCCAGGACACCCGAGAGCCACGGCCACCCCCAGGGCCCCGGCAGGGCGGAGGGGACAGCACGTGTCTCCTCCGGAGGGGCTGTGCCAGCCGCGTGGGCGAGCCCGGGCCATTCCCATCAGAGCCCAACAAAGCGGTGTACGAAAACACAAAATAAAAGGGAAGAGGGGGAAAATGACCCTGAAGGGCTCTCTAATTTGCAGCACACTCAGGGAGAGCGGCTTCCCAGAGAGTGGAAGGCGTTCAGACACGTGGCACCGGGAGCTGCCGTTAACGCCTTCCTGCCCGGCGCTGCGGGACAGCTCCGGGCTGCTCCCAGTCCCTTCCCGGGGGCAGGGTGGGAGAGCCGGGTCCTGCAGTGCCCAGGCCAAGAGGTCACCCAGCGGAATTCCTACAGCAGGCCCGGCACTTGCTGGGCTACAGCTCCCGTTTTAACCTAGGAAGCTGTTGTGTCTCCTGCACCGAAACAAAAGAGCATCTCCCTCTTCTGTGAGACTTCACTCAATGTCTGTTCTAATCAGGTGCCTCCTAAAAGGGGGACTTGAGCAGAACAGTGGCTGCTGTGATTGGGGTCAGCTGGAAGCTGGAGGCAGCTGGGTTGCAATGCTGCTTAAAAGAAAATCAATCTCCTTCCTGCCGCTGTAAATGGCAGAGCCGTCAGGATTTTCTTCCCTTAATTTGCCATAGTAGATGGCACCATATTCAGCTCCATTAAAATCAGAGCCTAAAGTCAAAGTGGGGCTCAGGCAAAGGTGTGCAGGAATTAGTGAATGTCTGAGGCCTCTGCAAATGATGTGACAAAACCAAGGTGCAGACACTGGTGTTAAAATTCAGCCCCTTTTTATCGACAGGGAGAAATCAGGCACTGAGGGGATGGGTTTGGAGACACCCTGCCCATCCAGAGAGCAGGGCTGGGGACAATGGGAAGACACAGCACTGTGCTCTGATCCCAGCACAGCCAGACCCCCAGCTCCCCCTCAGCTTCCCCCATGTGCTGCTGGGGGGGTCCCTGGGGAGGGTGGCACTGAGAGCAGGCAGCTCAGAGACAGGGTCATGCCCCCTGGGGCCTCCCAGCCAACACCCTAAACAGGGAGAGCATCTGGGACCTCAGGCTTCAGCACTGCTGGTCTGTGCTGAAAAATAGGTGCTGCTGAGCCATGACCTGGGGCTGGCCATTGGGTGTCCCCTCCTGCAGAAAAGCAGCATTCAGCCAAGGCTGCACCTCTGCAAGCAGGTTGCTCACAACGTGCCTAAGCAGATTGATTTAATTTCTGCAGGTTTCTGGGTGTAGACTTGGGTTAGAAACCGGAGGAGGGGGGTGGGGGAGGAGGGGCACAGGCACACACAAAACCTGGGATTGTGACAGGAGCATTCCTCTGTGTGGGGAAAGGGAGAAATGCGAGCGAGGAACTGCAAGGTGATGAAAAACTGCTGCAAAACCACCTCCAGCTCCTGACGGCAAAACCAAACTGCTGCTTTCCCTGTCCTGCTTCTCTTCCCACTGCTGAGAGGAGTTACTGAGCCCAGCTTTAGCTCAGCAGTGGGAAAGGGCCTGCCCACAGGTCACCTCAGCCAGGGCTGCAGGGGTGGGATACTGCCTGCAAGGGGACAGTAGTGAATGAGGAGGGAGTTTGTGGCATCGAAGTGCCTCCAGCAAAAAGGGGCTGCTTGTTTATGCCAGTACATCCCAGTTCCTGGGCTTTACCCCTGGTCTGGGGCAGAGCATTGGCACTGGGCTCCTGGGGGCCTGGCATGGGCTTTTTCCTGCCCTCTCCTGGGACCCACACGGTGCTGATGTCCCAGCTGAGCCTCTCTGTGGCTCAGGGACGTGGCTGCCACTCACCCGTGCTGGACAGGGAAAATCATCTCCAAGGGGAAGGATCCTGCCTCATCAGGTGCTGGGACCATGCTGGCACCAGCTCTGGCTCTGGCTCCCTTCCTGTGGGAAGCAGAAACTCCTGGTCAGCCTTTCAGCCCAAGCAGGATGCCCAGCACTGTTGAGAAGCCAATCCTGGCCCCTCTCCTCTCCCTCCCTGGGCCCCAGGAATTTGCTCCCATCCTGGTGCCTCCCCTGGGATCTGTACTCCAGTTCTGTATCCCTGTCCCAGGGAGGGACAGGCTGCTGGCAGAGATGGGCTGGACTGGAAAGGTTTCTGCCCACCCCCCTCGTGAGGAAATGAACATTCTGTGCCCTCACCTTCCTCCCCCTTCGCTGTGTCTCCAGTCCCAGGGGGAGGTTTGGGGGCCCCTCAGCCACTCCTGCTCTCTGCAGTCTGCAGGGAGTGGCTGCAGAGCAGCTCAGGTGGGTGACCTGCTGCAGCTCTGGCAGCAGGGAATTCCCAAGGTGTTGGAAAAGTCCTTCAGGGGTATGAGCAGCGGGATGTCACCTCTCTGCCTGCGGGTGGAGGGGCAGCAGTGGGTGACCTTGCCCAGGCTGTGCCAGCCCTACAGCCACTCCCTCATTTGTTTTCACACACTGTGGTTTGGCTATAAATGGGGGTATCACCTGCACACCTTCCACATCCCAAAGGGATCATCTCCCACAGAGTAACAGGGACAGTGGTTTGCAGTTCATGTCTCACTGTCACAGCAGTGCCTTGGATGGCAGGTACAAGCTTGGCCCTGAGGCTGGTGGAGTCAAAGCTGTCACTGCTGTCTTTACTTTAAATAAAATATACACTATACTATGATGCATTAATTTCTTTAAAGGGATAGTTCCTAATTTACCGATGACTCCTCTAGCAAGGAGGAAAAAGGTGCAAATCTCTTTTGGTTTTGGGTATTCACAGGAGTACCTTGTAGGGTTCCTGCTGCCTCATCTGAGCTCCTCGGCCCTGTGCCCAGGGCTACAAACTCCCTCAATTTACAGAGATTATAAAAAAGGACTCGGCCAGGGCATGCACAACCCCATCCCCAGTGTGAGGTTTCCTGGGAACATCAGGGGTGTTGCAGAGTCTCTCTCAGGGTGGTTGTGACTGGAGAACAAGGCTCAGGGTCCTGCCAGGTTTCTGCCCACACAGTGCTCCATGAACCTCACCACCAAACAGCTCAGTGAGGGGGGGAGAAAACCCTCATTTCCAAGAGCTGAGCCTCAGCCTGCTCCTCCCTGTGGCTCTGGCATCACTTCCCTTCCTGTCTAAGGCTGGCTGGTGCAGGGACCAGACAATTCCAGTGCCTGCAGCAAAGCATTGCCAGGAACTGTGTCCAACACCCTGAAATCTCTCACAGGGTCCAGTGAGTCTGGGAGCTCCTGCCTCTCTCCTAAAACTGGAGAATGCTCCTGCTTCTCTGGGGGAAAGGGTGAGTGGGGTAGGCAGCCAGTCCAGGACAGTTTCCCAAGACAAGGCTGAAATTCCCACCAACAGCCCTGGCCAAACTGCAACTGGGCAAAGGGAGAAATAATCCCAAGAGCTGATGATCCTGCCTTTTTCCCACTCTGAGCCCCCACACCAGGGTCTTCTCCAGGCACTGCAGGGCAGGGGGTGGTGAGGGGTGGACAAACCGCCCTGTTGATGGGCAGTGACTTGGCTGTGGTGCCTGAGGAGTTTGTTCTCAACAGCCGGATCATGAAATCCCAGTGTGGTCTTAGTTCCTCCCAGGAAGACAAGGAGGCACCAACCCCTGCTAGACCAGCCAAGCCTTTCCAAGTGTGCTTTTCTACACTGGATGGGGCTTCCTCCAGCTCCTCCAGACAGTGGAGCCAGGGCTTTTCTCTGTCAGGGAAAAGCTGCCCTGATCCACAATGGCCTGGAGCAGAGATGTGGCCACAAGTGTCGAAATGCTCTGGGAGGGAAAAGACCAGCCTCCAAGGTGTGTCACTGGTTCCCCCAGTACCACGTCTGCCTGGAGGGCCTCATGGATATTGTGTTCCTGTGCTCTGCTCTGCCCTCAGGAAGGGCACGAGATCCTCCTGACAGAGTCCTGCCCATCCTACTGCAGCTCCTGGCAGTGGGGCTGTGCCTTGAACCCTGATTGGAGAGCAAAACCTGGGCATGGGGAGCAAAAGGAAGGTTTCATAGGGAAGTTTAAGGGCTCAAAACTTGGATTTTGTTCTATTCCAAGCTGAAAGTTTACATTTAAACATTACTTATAATTTAAAAAAAAATAAATTGGATGGGGCAGGATTAGCAACCCATTCCCTCTATTAGAGTAATGGCATGTAAAATAAAAAAGCCTGGCACAGAAATTAATTTTGAAAGGTCAAACAACGTTTTAGTGCCTGAACTTCTCTCATGGAAACATGACAACTGACCCAGCAGGAGTCACTTCCCAGAGAGGGTTTGGACACAGACTCCGAGAGGGCATTGCAGGAGTGAAATGAAAGCTGAGAGCTGAGGCCTTTTTACCTTCCTAAAATACATCAGCTCCTGACCTTGGCATCACCATCCACCTTAGTCTGAGACCTGCAAACTGCTGCTTCCTTCCTCCCTGCTTTGCCTGCTTCCTGTGGCAGTCCCTGTTCCAGGTTGTTCACATCTGCATCCTGCTCCTCGGGCCCTTCTCCACGGATCACAGTCAGCCAGAGTTGCCATGTCTGCCGTTAACGTGAAGGATTTCGTACACACATCTGCAAAACAACTACCAGATTCCTCCCTTGAACTGTTACAAAGTCAAGTGTAGGCAAAAGTTTTACACTTCTACTGGTCAATGGCTCAACACAGACTTCAGATGAGAATATGTGAGGTGGTCAACACGCTGCTAAAGCTCTGAAGACATCAGAAAAACAGACAGAAGTGAGGCAAAGGACTGAAATTCCACCCAAGGGACTTTTCTTCTTTAAACCTCATCTCATGTTGCCTGAAGTTCTCCACTTAAAGCATACAGCAAGTCAGAGGGATGGGTTTTTCATGTTTTTATTTACTAAGGTTTTTATTGTGTGTTTTATATTGCAAACCCCACCCCTAGAACTCTTCCCTCCCTTCCCCCCAAAAGAAAACAAAAATAACAGTAGTAATAATAATAATAATAATAATAATAATAATAATAATAAATATAGTTCCACCTACTGAGACAAGCCTAGTGTTGACTGGGGTCCAGTCAGAATAACTCAATATTGGCTACTGCACTGCTAAGAACTGGGAAACCAAAGGAGATCCCCGTGAAACACAAAGCAAAGGAGGATGTTCAGCAGTGGTGATGGAACACACGTCTGCCAGAGCCAGCCCCGGGGGTCCTGTGCCCCCCCTGTCTGAGTGTCCACGGGGCTGGTGAATTCAAGTACCAGTGCAGCAGTCACAGGACAGCCATCGAGCAGGGCTTGGCATTGCTGGGCTGGAGACCTTTCCCCCCTGCTTTCCCACCCCACAGCCAGACTCAGCTCCCAGCCTCTCGAGATGCTCGTTCTAGGGGCCCTCCAGCACATGGGGGAAAAAGTTTGCTAAACCAAATAGAAAACTGAAAAGGATATTGTGAGTCTTCCTTTTAGGAACTGCCTCGTACCTTTGAAAATATGAGAGGGTCTGTGAGTCTGCTTCAATTCCTGTTTCAAGATGAACCTGTACATATTTGGAAAAGCAGGATCTATAGATTATAATTATCACCTGCCAATCAGTCCTACAGGAGGGTCAAAATTGACATGTATTTTAAAACTAGGATATATATATATATATATATAAATGTGTGTGTGTGTGTGTGCTTACATGTGTGCATAAATAGACTACATAGGTGTATAACTATACTATATATATAAAAGCATGTGTGTATATATAGATAGATATATAAAATCTATACAAACACACACACACACACACATGCACCCCTCCCACCACACACACTCACACATATATCGGTGTATTTAGCTAGTAGAAAAAACATTTCTAGAGTTCCCCTGACCCTTTAAGGAAGACCAAAGCTGATTACATCTGAGCCACCAAAGCACGTTGAAGCAGGAGTGCCCAGGAATGCTGCAGCAACATTCGAGATACAGGCACATGTCAAAGAGTTTTGCAAACAATTCAGTATAAAAAACAACTGTCAGCCAGTGTTTTGGGGGTGGGAGGAGGTCAGAGAGGGAGTTTGAGGGACCTATATCATTACTGGGATAAGTTTTTGGCACTGCTGCATGAAGTCCTGCTTTCCCTCTGGGGACCCCATGATAGCTGGAAACAGAGGGAGGCTGGATGTCTTTCTAACAAGGGTTAGAAAAGTTGAGCACCTGACTCTTACAGTGAGGTGTAGACACCTCTTGGCCTAAGAAAAACTGAAACAGAGAAAGGATCAAAGTAACAGAAAAGGAGACATTCACTCTAGAGGTAAAGGCTGCATCTTTTCAGTGTGCACCCAGCGGCCCCTCACCCCCTCATCCCACTCTGACTGCCTTAGGGGAGCCCAAAAACTCCAGCTCCAGGTGCCTGCCAGGCCCCAGGTTTGTCCAGTGACGCTGCAGCTGCAGGGCCAGGCCAAAGCCCATCGGGTGCAGCTCTTATTGCTGGTGAAATCAAACAAAGGATTTCGGACCCCCCAGCGGGGGGTAAACACAGACCATGGCTGGCCAAATCTCTGGTCTAATCTGGTGTGAGTGGTGAAAACAGTTGCAAATCTGGAGGATTCTTGGCTGGGCACCAGAACTACTCTGTGTGCCTCAAAGCTCAAACTCCCCTAGGCTGAGGAGGAGGAGGGCAGGGGTGACTGCACCCCACTGCTCAGTCCTTTTCTAGTTCTCTTCAAAGCAGTCAGCCCATGGACACTGAGACAGTAACGTGACAGGGGAAGGTTCAAGTGCTTTCCTTCTCCATCCCTCCCCTGGCTTTGCACACACACTTTCCAAACCATGGAGAGGCTGAAGTTTGGGCCTTTGTGCCAGCTGAGGTCACTGCCTGGTGTGCTGGCAGAGCCAAAATTTTTCCCACTGCCCACATCCATGACAAAAATACAGAGGGGATAAACACTGCCCTCCTTGTGACCTACAAGGGACTGCTCCTTGTTCCCATCAGAGCATCAGTGGAGTCAGAAAGAGACAATCTGAGTGAAGCCCGTCCACCTGCTGGTCACCTTCATCTTCTTCAAGTGGAGTCCAAACCAAAACTTGGCCCTTGGGAAATCCCTAGAGGGGTCTGGAATAATGAAACTCCCCCCTCTTCTCGCTTGCTTTGCAATCTGAACACAGGAGGGAACATGGGAGGAAGGGACACCTTCTGGTGCTCACAGTGGGCCATCCACAACCCCCAGAACCAGGTGCTGCGGACCAGGGTCACAGCTGAGGCCAACCAGGACTGTCCTAAAACACCAGCTACAGACCTGACCTGATGTCACCTCCTACAGCCCACGTCAACCTCGGATCTTTGTCTCAACAGGAAAACCTTTTTTTGGTGGCTTCTATGGCTGATCATTCACGTGTTCCAGCTCAGGCACACGCCTCGCCTGTGCGTTACCTCGTTGGATTAAATTTGCTCATATCCTTTTGTTCCATGTATTAAAATATTCTATAAAATCAAGTGACCAAAAATCTATAGCTCTAAGAATACCTGGTTATCTTCTTTTTTTGTTGTTGTTGTTGTTTTTCATGTGTTTTTCTTTGTTTCTAAGCACAGTTAAACCTAAACAAACGAAATGGAGAAAACAAAGCGGGCGCGAGGGTGGGGGGGAAGGAAAGGGAAAAAAAAATGCTTTATGAACTGAACTGCAGGGCTGACATAACCAGCTCTCGGGAGGAGTCCTCACAAATTGGAGGGCAGTTTGGATCTGACGGGCTCCAGATCCCCTGTGAGCACTATGGATTCTTTGCGCCCACCAGCAGTCAGAGGAGCAGCGCCGGCCCCGAACACCAGCGGGTGTGGCAAAGACCCTGAGGACATCTGCCGCGGCAAAGTCACACGCCCGGGGATTGAGCTGCAAGGCTTCCCCAGAAGTCCAGTCCCTCCTCCAGGAAAAGGAGAGAAGCTAGAAACAGATTCTCTAGAGGAATGAGGAGAACTGTGGCCCAGTGTCTGCGCCAGCTCCTGGGGCAGAGATGGCTGGGAAGCAGAGATCAGCTTGATGTCCTGGTTGAGCCGTCCCGGCGGCACCGGCGCCGCGCCCTTGGCCTGCAGGATCTGCGGAGGGGGGCTGGCGGGCTGGGGCAGCAGCAGCGAGCCGTGAGAGCCTGTGGGCCCGGCAGGGCCACTCTGGAAAGTTCTTGTTGCCACTGGGCTCTGACTGGGAGGACTAAGGCCAGAAGGGGTGTAACAGGGAGAGGCGACACCGGACTGTTGTAGTGGAGACGCGGAGGCAAAGGGAGGCCGTTCTTGGTGGAGCTGGGCTATCGTTCCAGTTAAAGATCCTAATGCACTTGGATGTGTTTGGCACAGGCCTGAGGACGGCCCACCTGAGGCCTGTGCCAGCTGGCTTAGGCTGGAGGATGGAGAGTTGGAAGAAGGAGGGGGTTGGAAGTGATTCATTCCCCCCAAAGTCCCACTGCCCGAGAGCTGCTGTAACTGTCCCCCCTGCAGTGGTCTGGTGGTTGGCTGGAACTGGTTGAGAAGACTGGGGGGTGAGTTTGATGAGAGCTGGGTGAGGGACGTCGATGGGGAGCTGGTTGTGGCTTGCTGGAAGTGCCCAAATCCACTGCTGGAAAGGGCTGGCTGCTGCTGCTGCTGCTGCTGCTGCTGCTGCTGCTGTTGCTGCTGCTGTTGCTGCTGTTGCTGCTGCTGTTGCTGCTGCTGCTGCTGCTGCACCGGCTGAGCTGCACCTAAGGGTGATCCAGAAGGTGCGTTTTGGAACTGGCTCAGTCCCACCGAGGAGGTGCTGCTCAAACCCGGCTGGCTTGAGCCACCTGGAGGGGATCCCACCTGGAACTGGCCTAAGCCGGTGGCAGCTGAGAACCCTGCGAGCTGCTGGATGTGGAAGGAAGAGGACGAGGGGGTTTCTGCTCCGGGTGTGTGCAGCTGGGATGGAGTACTGGAGGGAGAGCCAACGGCAGAGGGGCCGGTCGATGGGATTAGGGACTGAAATCTTTTCAGCTGCCTGGGAGTCTGGTTGGATTGCTGCCCCAGGGAGCCCAGGACGGACACGGGCGGACGGAAGATGGCTGTGGGGAGCCGGGGGTGGTGGGTCAGGGCGATGGCCACGGACGTGGTGGCTGCTGCAGCCTGGAGGGGGGCCTGGATCAGCGGGGTCCAGATGACCGGGGTGGGTGTGGAGGCGGCGGCGGCGGCGGCCTGGACATTGTGAGCACAGTGAGCCATCTCCCTGTCGTGCTGCACGATTTGCTGGATGATCTCATTCTCCTGGTAGTTGAAAACACCCGAATTCAGGTCATGCTGGACTTTATGCAGCAGAATGGAATTCTTCTTGCCTGTAGAGAAAGTGAAGAGAGAAAGAGTCATTCTGGGATGTCAAAGCATGGGAGGCTTCCTCAAAGCTTCCTGCCAGACTTCCCTCGAATTGTTGGCACTGTCTCCCCTCCACTGTCCTCATGGGATCTGTGCATAGTCTCTCTGCTCCAGCAACAAGATGACAAACATCACATCTTCTGCTTTTGTGGTATGAATAACCTCAAGATCCCATCAAACTGAGCCCAACAGGACTCATATCCCTAGTTAGACAGTAAAGCCACTTTTGATAAGCGTGGCAGACTGGTAGCAAAGCTTATGGATCTGGAAGAGTCCTATCTTGCACCTCACAATCTAAGCTTCCATTAAAAAAAAGAGAATAAATCATCAAAAATGTAAGTCCAGTGAAGTCTTCAGTTACTCTCCTTCAGTTACACCCTTTTCTCATCTGTCTCATGCGACTTGTTCACTCTGGAGTCAAATATGTGGGTTTAGTTGCAAGGAAATTTCTCTGTGAACAAGGGACAGAAGGACTTGATGATCTTGGAGGTCTTTTCCAACCTTAATGATTCTGTGATTCTCTTCTATGACTTTCTGTGCTGGAAAAGCTCAGCTGGCCCAGGTATGACCCTCAGACATCCTGCAGCTCCCATCCTGCCTGGCCATGCCCTTCTATTCCCAGCTTTAGGGAAACTGCAGGCCAGAAACGTCATGTTCCAGCTGGCCCTCCCAGCCTGCAGCAAAGCATTAACTCAGTGCTTTGCCTTTGCAATGGGCTGGAAAATGTGGTGGAATGAGTTTGTCTGGCCTGGGAGTGCACCTGGCACTGAAGGGATGCACTCCTGGCCTGAAGGACAGAACCAGTCAGGCTCTGGGGAACCATTCAGGGCTATGTGGTAGGAAGAACACGCCGAGGGTTTTTCCTTTCCTTTACCTTCTAAGATCAAGCATTTATGACTTTGTAAAGGATGAGGTGTGGCCCTGGGTGCTTGCAGTGGGTTGAGCTGCACTGAAACGCTGCCAGAGTTCTGACCCTGGAGCTGAACTGAGACGTGTCTGTTGTGGGTGCTGGGATGGGATGCTTAATGCTTTTGTGTTTCACCTACTGCCTACCAAAAAAAAATGAAAAAAAAGAACGCAGAAAGGCTTTCTTTTCTCATCTCAGAGCAAGACATCAGCCTGGGAAGGACACGGTCCTGAAGGCAAACAGGGTTCTGCGCTGCTAAAGTCGTTCCAAGGGCTGGAGAGCTTGTCTGCACTGGAAGTGCGTGTGTAGGATGTTATATAATGGCTGTTTCACTGTATGCTGCACTGGAATAACACTGGATACCCCCATACAGAGAGATCCTGCTTCTACCCACAGCCAGGCACACCAGAGAGAGCATGAATGTCACCTTTAAACTGCATTTGGTAGTGAAAGGGAGGGAACGGTGCAGAGGGTCCTGCTGCACACACACACACAGAGAGTTATTTCCACCTGGGTTTTACTAGAATCACATAAAAAAGGGCTCACAAACTGCTGCTCAAACAGAAAGAGAGCATGGAGAGAAGACAACCTACCTCACTACAACTGGCAGGTAAGGGAGAGCGTGACCAGCACTGCTGAGCTAAGGAGGGGCTCAGGCTGCAGGTTTGTAATCACTCCCTTTCTGGAGCTGAAGGTACAAATCCCAGCATGTGGAATCTGTAGATCTTGCACCACTGCAAGGTCAGGATGTGGATGGGAGACATCATGCTGAGCTCAAAGCTTAAAAGGTGCCTTGCTGCATTTGCTGTCCTGATACTGGACAAATCCAGGCTGGGGAGGAACGGCCGGGGCAGGGGAAGGAGGAACAGCTCTTGAAAGGCTCAGTAGCAGCCACTGCTCTGTGTTTCCATCATTGCACCTCATTCCACTCTTCTAATTCCACGTCACCTGGCTTTGGCTCCTGATTTGCTCTGTGTGCTTGACTAGGCCTGGAATTCCCAGCGCTGCCCTGGATTCCGATGGGAAGCACGGTGATGTTATCAGAGCTCCCGGATGGGAACTGGTGTTCCCATGGCCTGAGCTCCTGACTACACACAGGGAGCTCAACAGACTCTGGTTTCCTTGGCAGGGCACTGAACAGAGAGCATGCTAATGTTTCCCAAAGGTGCCTAATATTCACCGGAAATGGTTTGATCGAAGCTCCTTAACTTTGTGTCAAATCCATAAAGTAATACCAGTAAAATACTTGGAATGATTATTTTTGTTAGTTTTTAAAACAGAGCACTTCATTTTGCCTTTGAAATTACATTACACTTCACTGTTTTCCTGAGCCCAGCTTGTATCTATTAACTGTTTCATTAGATCAAATTTTTCTCTTCTGTTTTGCCAAGAAAATATCAAATTTCTCCTCCAGAACACTGTAGAAAATTACTGAAAATGTTCTCTCAGCTATTGAAGGGGAGAGGAATTTTTCAAAATCATTTTTCCAAATTGTAATTGGTTGGCAAACTGAAAAATTAATTGGTTTCACCATTCTAATGAATTGTATCATTTACATGATGTTTCCACACGCCAATATCAGTCCTATTAGTTGCTTCTGGAGAAAATCCTCCTTCCAAGCAGCACCAGATGAGAGCAGGCACAGAGCAGAGTCCTGGTGGGACAAATACATTTCCCTGGCAGGTCTGACTAAGGAGCTGCATGAGACATAACCCAGCAGTGGAACAAGGGAGTGGGAGTAACTTTGCCTGGGCCAGTGGTTCTGAGATTGGTTCTGAGATTATTCCTCCTCCTAATTTTATCTATGAAGCTGCTTCAGTCACAAATTCACTTCCCTGCTCTGGATTTGTTGTCCCAGCCCCTGCCCAGAGGGAGAGCAGAGAGCAGCACTGAGAGGGCTGACAGCTGATGAGTTTGCTCTGTGTAACCCTCGCTGAAATGAGGTTCTGCAGCTCCCAGCTCTGCTCAGCCACCCGCAGGGAGCCCTGTGTTCTTGCTAAGCCAGGGAGAAGCTTCATCAGGAGAGAGGAAAAGGGACTCTGTTCCCTTTCAATCTAATCAGGGAGGCTCTGTGTGACAGTTTGTCCTTCTGTGTTGTTTATCCCGCAGAAATTACAGTGCTGAGCAGAGTTTAAGGTACAGAGAGAAACAATCCACCCAAATCTCACCCCAAAAGCACTACACAAACCCACCGGGATGGCCCAGAGCTGGCAGAGGAACCACCTGCAACCACCCCATGCACCACCTCCCCTCCCTTGCTTTAGAACTCCCTCTGGGGTCTAAAAACTCCCTGTTTTCCTCACTGCAACAATAAGCTAAATATAGGGGGAAAGGAAGATATTTAGAGCCTTGAGGATGTTCACAGCAAAGCTACTGGTGCTTTGAAGTGGAGTGAGGTATGTAAAATTATGGAAACGAAGCAAACAGATGTTGCTCCCTTAATTAAGAACTGCAAAGTCAGATTTTCCTCAACTGTAGATAGCACACAAAAGAACAGGGAGAAAGGCTCATGTGATTTCATAAAAGAGCCAGCACTCAACAATAATTCTTCTATCAAATAATCAAAATTAGCTTTCTGTTGTTAAAATTCTGCACAGACACAGGGGAAATTAGCTGTGACTTTTTGTTCAGTTTTCTTTTCAGCTCTCTCTAAGCCCACTGGCTGCAGTTTAAGAATTCAGGTCACTAAATTGCTTTCTGAATTTGCATGTATTTGAAATAATCTCACTTTATTAGGCTGCCTTATGCCCTGGCCTGCTGTCAGAGTGGCTGCCCCCACCACACGGTTACTTTTTTCAGGTCTTCACTCATTATTCATAGGCCTCGTCCTAAATGGGCCCTCGGTTGCAGCACATCCCAGCTTTGCAGGGGGTCTCTGCCCTCCCTTCCTTGGGTCACTGGTGTCCTGTGGGAATTCAGCCTGCTGCCACCATCCCCAGAGGGGCATCACAGAAAACCCTGGACGCACTCAGTGACGGGCACTTTGCCACGGCTGCTCCCCTGCCCCAGGGAGACTCCTCTGCACTGGGACTGTCCTGGCTGGGAGGTCTCACTGCTCCAGCTCCTGCTGCTGCCTTAGAGTCCATGTAAACAGGGAAATCAGCTGGAACAGGGAACTTAGAATAATTCTTAACTCCCAGTCCTTCCCCATCCCAGCCTGACCTCTCAAGGTAAGTTAATCCTCACTGAACTGCACTTACTGTTGTGGGAAGGTTTCTGCCTGGAATCGAAGGAACTCCTGGAAAAGAGCTCAGCAAAGCCAGCTGGATCAACTCTAGGAGCATACTCAGAGGAGTTCAGAACACGTAAACCTGCTCTGGAAACTGCTCCAGATTAACTTCCCCGAGAGCCATGTAAATCCATGGCACATGGGGTGTGTGAGCTCTTCCACATCCAAGGCAGCAGCCTCTGCATCCCACACCTCTGCTTCCCTCTTGCTAAAGCTGCATCCTCCAAACTTGGATGGTACATTTCAAATGGACAATTCCCTATCTTCCCAAGTGGAAGTCTTCCCTCCCAGTACAGCTCAGGCCTGCCACTGATTGCTTCTCCTCTTCCATAAACCAAACAGGTATCTGTCAAAATATGTGGTATTTCTTTTAACAGACAGAATGCAGCCAAAACTGCTGCAGGTCAGATGACACACAGTGAATAATATTATCTGGTGAATCTCATCACAGTTAAAAAGAATTCAAAATAAACAGAGCTCTTCCCTCCCACTCTTCACATTTATGCCCATCATACTGAGCTTTGCAGAGAAATAAACTGAACATGCAGAGTTGGGTAGAATGTGAATATCCATGAGGGGAGAAGAGCTGTGTCATTCTGGAGGGGCTGTGGTGCCTGTGGTGCCTGAGGCAGTGTCCTGGCTGTTACTTATCACTGGAGACTGAAGCCAAAGAGTTCTCCTCAAGTGGCACAAATGCCAAAGCTCCTGCACTCAATCTCAGTGCCCTGCTGGAGCTGACAGCTGTGACAGGGACACACTCTGGAAGACCCTGGACACTCTGGCACTGCTTTTCTGTCAGTTAGGTGCTTTGCAGTGTGGGTGGTTGCAGAGAGCTGCTGGAGTGCCTTCCAGGCAGGAAACGTCCCCTGAGACTAGAGGTGTCATTGGTAAGCAGGTCCTACTCCATGTAATTAAAAAGAGGCTTGAAAATTATTTACAAAGGTGTTGGAATGGTAAAATGTTATCTGAGCAGATGTTTTATTTCAATGCAGGTAGCAAAGATCAAAGTTATTGATGAAGTCAAAGACAGGTCTCCTGAGATCTCATCACCACCCCCAACTGTTCCTTCTCTTGGGGTGTCTTGGGCTTTGTTTTCCTTCTGGAGCTGCATGAGAAATGGCACTTCATATTCAGGTGAACAGGGGTGCCAGTTCACCTTAATTAAGCTGAAGTAATTTACATTCCCTCGTGGCTGGTGAGTTACTGATACCTTTCCTGAGGCTAAACAGAAAATACTCTGAGTCTGGGCCTTCGCTTCCAAAGAAAAAGAAATTCAACTGTTTAGTTCCTGCTTAAGTCGAAGCTCACACATTCTCCCACTGCATACATGGGCCACGGGAACTTTTATCCTTGCATCACCTGTGCCTGTATCAGCAGCCTCAAAAAAGAACTGTGTATGTATATATACACACACACATACACACACACACATATATATGTATATAAATAATCATGCTCCTCTCACATGTGCAGCTCTTTGGGGGTTACTCACCTGTGTGCAGTAAACAGATCTGGCACTTCAGTGTGGATACAGTGTAAAACTGATGCTGAGCACACCCTGTTTTATCCATCCACATTTCAGCCCCTTTCATTCCTTCACGATCTCGCCCGGCCCCTGCCCCAGGGGAGCAGCTGTGAAACACTCCCAGCTCCACCTTTTAGCATTATTTTCCCTGCAGAAGTGATGAGGAACTGAGGCACGGAGCAAAGGCAGGACAAGGACAAACAGGGAATCTGTGGCAGAGCTTGGCAGCGATCCCAGCTCCTCTCATCCCCAGCTCACCTCCCCTCACACAGGCCAGCCCAGTTTTGAGCAGCAGATCCCAGAGGATTAGTCAGGATTGGACAAGCAGGGCTGCAAACCCAACAGGATTGCAACTGCAGAAGTGGGATCATGAGCTGGCAGTCAAAAAGTTTGGGAACAGCTATTTTTGTGGTTTGTTTATGTGACAAAGCTTTTAAAATTTCTACCACTGTAGTATCTTGAACAGAACACTCTCATACTGCAATAATACCATAAATTATATTTAGAGACTGGAATTGTGTTGTCTTGGCTTTCCTTTGTTTTTTTAGCATCTGCAATGCCTGGAGGAAACACGAGACATCTTTAATCCTTAGTTAAATGGCATCCTTGTATCAAAACATATGCAAGTGGCATTCAAAATATATGCATTCCAAACTATATGGCAAAAAATTCCTGATGAAAATGAAAAAAACACCTTCCTCTGGCTTGAGGGATGCTTTCAGCTCTCACCAGTGACCTTGACAGGGATGGTGAGAACCTAATGACAGGCATTTATGGTACTTATTACAGCACATTGAACAGTGGAAAATAATTGTCCCCCAATATCTTGTGAACGCATCAGTGAACTTTGATTTGACAGTACTCACGGCCCGTGTTGGATTTACTTTCAATGAACATTTAAGTGGTTGTGTTTTACAAGTGCAAATACTTGTGAAAATCTAATTTTAAGCTTCAATGGTCACTGAAAGCCAGTTTCAAAGGCAGTCAGGAACAGACTGATGCGACTTACGTAACAGAGGCATCACAAACTGGGACGATTCACAAACACTGTCAGACAAAGACTTACTCACTGGAGAAATCACAGAATCATTTCAACACACAAATGCTACAGAGAATTTTACAGCTTGGTCAAGAAGAAGAAAGGGAGGCTGATTTAATCAGTGATAAAATGATTATTAACGAGTGATCAGCCTAATTTCTCTGAGTGTAAATCTTCCGACCCTGAGCCTGTGGAGTGTTAAGTGTGATATTGTGCAGGTTGAGGAGTTTGTAGAGTCTGAAGTTACTGAGACTTAAGCACGGCCACAGATCTTTGCAGAATCCCAGCCTTAGCCAACTCCTGCAGACTAATCCCTCCCAGTCTTTGAAGAGCTCTGCAAGTACAAACACCTGGGGAGCTCCTTCCCCAGCCATGCAAGGCACAGGCAGGATGCCGGTATCAATTCCCATGACTAGCAGAGGTTAGAGGGCACACCAACACAGAGGGGCTGCAGGAAGCTGTGGGGGCACAGATCAGGGGGCACTGGCCCCTCTCCTCCCCTCTGCCCACCCACAGGCTTCCAAACTGCTTTTGCCCTGCTGAGGGAATGCCTCATCCCACCTCCAGTCAACCAGCCCTACTCCTGGTGCTGCAAGGGATGAGGCCTCACCTGCTCGTCCTGCTACCTCGACAAGCTTAGACCATGCTTTCCACACCCTCCAACAGCAGGTAATCCCACAAACATTGGGGTGAGATCTTCCTCCCTGCTTTCTCGATTCCTCACTGCACAGGGGGAATATTGGATGGATCTTATCCTGGTACCAGAACAGTGACAGAGCCCTCTGAGCCACTTCATGTGCTCACTGGGGCTTGGGCCTCCCAAGGACACGCTGTCACCCGGGCAGAAGGGAGTCAGTGGATTGCACCACTGACTTGGAAAGAGGCTCCCATTTGCTTCCATCTTGTGTACAGCTCCTGAGCAGAATGTGGCAGGAACCAAAAATATGGTCCCACTTCTGTTCATATCTGGCTTTCAAAAACTGCTGTTCCTCGACTTTAGCCCTCCAGAATGATTCCTCCGCTTTCAGTGAGTCTCAGCAGATGCAGGAACTTTGGATTCCTTCAAAGGTCCATGCTGTTACTCAGCTACTGCACTGCTCTGTCTGCATGGTGCACGTTCCAGGGGAAGTGAAGAAATGCCTTATTTATAAAGACAGGGATTTCCATGGGATCTGCCAGTTTCAGTAGGGTGCACAGAACTCCCTTAGGCTCCTTGGGGCAATTCCAGCTAAAGAGTGCTGGGCACCACGGGGTTGGAAAGGGTTATGGAGATGCTATTTTGCAATAGTTGAGGTGTAAGGTTGAGAGAACAGAAAACAACCGAGTTTGATTGCCAGGGAAACAAGGATAGCAGTAGGATTTTCAATGGCATAGGGACTGATGTTGTTTCAGGTCAGCAGAATAGCAAAAGGAAGGGGGGCGATGTCAGGGCTCTGCACCAAAGGGCCTGTTATTCCAGTTGCTCTGTGTCACCTTCTGACCTTATGTTGACATTTTGCAGCTGCCTGTGGAACGGAATTTCTCCTTGGGGAAGAAGCATGTGAGGTTCTTCAAGCTGTTTCAGAATTGTCCATGAATTTCATGGAAGTTATGTGTGCAGCAGGCACAGAGCAAAAGGCAAGAAGCACAGGATGCCCTGGCCACCTGTATCTACAGTCCCAGAGAGCATCAGGCTGGGAAGCTGAGCAGCACTGACCACCCAGACCTGGAGAACCTGAGATAAAGCCGAGCTGGCCCATCCCTGGATGTGCCTGACATTACATTTTCTCCGTGCTTCTACTGTCTAATTTAAATAACCCAAGTAATGGGCTTATTGCCACTTACACCAGGGCCTCATTAGCGGGGGCTTTGCCAAATTACATATTTAGCTCAGAACCTTTTCCTCAGGGGTCACACTTTCTGATTTGCAGCAGGTAATGAGATGCACTGAATAAAATGTTCCTGGCAGGAAAAGCCCCAGAGGCACTGCACCCCTTGCTGGGATGCCAGGTTATTCCCTACCCCCCTCACCCCATTATCCTCCTCACCTTCTGCATTGTACTCAGACCTCCACTGACCTTTTCCATTCAGAAAGCAGAGAGATGGATAATAAGAGATGCATAACAGGCTAAAGAAGTTAGACTGGGAGTCCAAAATACTCAGTCCCCAGCTCTGCAGCCCTCTTGCATGACCTTGCATAAGTCACTTAATCTCTCTGTGTTAAATGCATCTGGTTGTGACCAAGGAATTTTATCCTGGTCTCCTGTAGTTACACAGGATCTTTTCAGCACAGGTTATGTCTCCCACAGGACAGAGAGCATCCTGGGATGGCATCCTGGGATGGGTCACTATGAGCTGTAACAACCACAGAACCACAGAGTGGTCTGGGTTTAGGAAGGACCTTAAAGCTCATCCAGTCCCACCCCTGCCGTCGGCAGGGAGACCTTCCACTATCCCAGGTTGCTCCAAGCCCCGTCCAACGTGGCCTTGGACACTTTCAGGGCTGGGGCAGCCACAGCTTCTCTGGGCAACCTGTGCCACGGCCTCTTCACCCTCACAGGGAAGAATTTCTTCCTAATATCTAATCTAAACTTACCCTCGGTAGGTTTAGATTATGGGGCTCCTTGAGGGAGTTGAAGTCAGACAGGGAGAGACAGGCTGGGATCTCCTGCAGTTCACAACTCAGCAAAGGAACTAAGGACCGAGCCTGGAGGTGGGTTGCCAAGGCAGCAGGTACAGAAGGAGACACTCACACCTGTACTTACCAATTCTGTCCAGCCTGTCCAGAGCCACGGTTTCAAAAGCCCTGCGCATCATGGGGTACTCCTCCAGCACCTCGTTGAAGTTGTCCACGGACAGGGAGTACAGGCGGCAGTAGGTGTCGGCTCGCACGCTGGCCGTGCGCCGGCCCCGCGTCAGCAGGCAGATCTCTGCAAGGACACAGCAGGCTGGCACAGGGGACAGGGGACAGGCACACCCCCTGCACTGACCCTCACGCCCAGCCTCCTCTCCAGCTGGGCTCCACCTGCTCCCCCACCGAAAACACGGCCAGTGCTAATCCCCTGCCTGTGCACCAACATTTAAAAATACCAGGGGCTCCGTTGTGGCAGCTGCCACACACAGCTGCACCTCGGGGATTCTGCTGATCTAATTAGCTGGGCAAGTTTTGTTATGGTGGATTATCAAAGATACCATTTGTGCATTCCTACTGGAGGAGCTGTCTTTCTCCAGCTCCTTGGGGGCACTGGGAGCACAAGGTCAAGCCGTGTCTCATTGAAGCTGATTCTCTCTAAATTTGTAGTAAAGGCTCTGTGCTGACATGTGCTTTTGGTGCCTGGGTGTAATTTTCATCCCCACACCTGGAACATTTGTCTTTTCACAGTTTTCAAAGATTTTTGGGGATATACCACATGCTTACAGACTGTCAGGGAGAGCCACATTAATGGCGCCTCAATATTGAGGTGCAAATACTGTATTTACACTGCAGTCATCCCCTCCTCCTCGGATGCTCAGCTCTTACAGAACAGAAAGCCCTTGATTCAACTACAGCTCCTGGAACACTCAACAGAGAGCTCCCAAATCCTGCTTTTCCACTGCTTACACAGAGTATGGGCAGCTAAGACAGGCACTTCAAGACAGCTGGTGTGACCTAAAGCCCGACAGTGCTCTGCTTTCTGCGTTATGTTGGGTGTCAATCCACCAGCACCATTCCTTGGATTCATGGTAAGTGTACCCCAAAGAGTTGTGTGTATGGTATCTACAACACAGGGAATGTCATGGGCAATTTCAATCCAATCTGTCAGGGTATCTCTGTAACTCCAAATCCCAGCTTGCAAACATGCAAAATCCTTGTACTCCAGGGAGGTGCAGAGAGGTTGTTCCCTGGGAACTAAGAGTAATAGGAGTGTGGGCAATGCATGACAGGGACTTTTTAGAGAAAAGGCCTCAAAGAAGGGAAGGAAAGGCAGGTTTCATCCTCCTCCTCTCAGCAGATCATTAATGGTGGTGCATTCAGTGCTTGTACCACAACATTCATCTACCAGAGGCCTACCTGTCTCAAGCTGTATGAGCTCTCTACGGGGCTCTGACAGGAGAGGGGATCTTTGTGTTACCCATAAGAGCAATATCCTAAATCTTTTCTGACCTCATGCTAGTCCCAGAACTCTGCTGCTGACACATTTTGCCTGCCTGCTGACCTTCCTGACATTTTGCTGGGGAGATGACGGACTGTGTTTTTTCCTCCATGTCTATCCAGCACTTTGTGTGGTAGATGCCAGACAGCAGGACTAGGCAATACTACAAATGTGCCTGGAGATTTGGGAATGGGCCATTTTTTACCTTTAGGTTCTCAGCTTCACTGATCTGTCAGTATTTGGGACCTGTAAGAACAAACCTCCCTTCTCTGTTTTGTTATTTATTATCTGGACTCCTGCAGTGCCCACGAGCCCCAGTCACCTCCCACTGCACCATCTCCTCTCTGGGAAGCTGCAGGGCAGGTGAGATGAACAGACATGGAGGAGGGAGGTGCCTGGGGTGTCAGTCCCATGTGGTGCCATCCCTGTGTGACCAGGACAATTTAGGGAATGTATGAGCATAGCAATGGGTGCCGCACCTCCGAAGTAGGATCCGTCGGCCAGCTTGGTCTCCTTGTTGCCCTTGGTGAGGACGCTGACCACGCCGTGCTGGATGAAGTACATCTTCTTGCCGATGGTGCCCTCCCGGATGATGTAGTCGCCCGGCTGGAACACCTCGAACCGCAGCTTGGTCAGCATGGACGTCACAAAGTTGGGGTCTGCGTTGGCAAACAGGGGCATGGAGGCCACCAGCTTCCGGCAGTTGAAGTTGATGATTTCCTGGCCACGGTGTGATGCAAACGAGAGAGAGATGGAGGGAGAGGGAGAGGGAGGGGGGAGAAGAGGTGGGACAGGGAACAGAAAGGACACACATATGTTTAGTCAACATCTAATGACCTATGGACATCCCCTACTTGACCTGTGAATTACAAAGTGGGAAGAAAAATGCTGTTCCCTTGGTGTGGCTCCCCCAGTGCAGGCTGGAACGGGCTCTGGATGCTGGTGAGCTGGAGCTGACAGCCTGACACTGTGCTCCACTGCCTTGATTCCTGTGCTTCCTCTCTGAGCAGGGACAGCACTCCCAACCTCCCAAACACACACAGTGTTCTTCTTTCTGCAGGAAACCTTGGACTGCGAGAGCTGCAGAGCACTGGTGAAATGCTCTTTGAAACAGCCCAGGGCTCCTCTCTGGGAAGATGTCATAACTCACCTTGGCAGCCCCACGTTCTCTGCTGCCCTTGCTTGTCAGTGAGATATTAAACTGCACAAATGTGCTGAGGCATTGGGAGAAAGAATTATCCTGTGCAGACTGGGACAGTGTCAGGAGAGGGGAGGGAGAGGAGCCACCAGTCACTGGGGCACGGGCTGGATCATCAGCCTTGGCTGAAGAAAACCCAGCTCAGCTGTTCAGCTGTCACACAGCAGACGGGCTGTGTCTCTCCTGTGGCTCAGTGTCACTCGGGGGGTGTGACAGCACAGGAGCTGCTCTGTGTGTGTCAGCTCAGACCCAGAGAGTGGCAGAAAGTGATACTGAGTAAATCACCTCAGCACAGCACTCCCCAGCCACACAGGGAAGGAGCATATGGATGACTGGAGCAGGAAGAGATCTGGGGAAGCATCTGTCATCTCCTCACTGGGAGTTTTAGAGGGTTGCCCTTTGAGACTTTGGCAAAACTACTTTTAAAACATGGCTGGCATTTTCTCAGCTCTTCTCTCTCCCATGGAGGTACATTACAGGGAGAGGAATACAGCAGAAAGACCCCTCCTCGAACTTGTGGGTGACATATTGCTGACATTCCAGGGAGAACCTGCATTGCCAGGCTTCAACTGGGGAGGGGGGCTTCTGTAAAGACTTCTTTGATTTGTGGGCCCTGCTAGGAGGCCCCTCCTTCCTTTGCCTCTGCCTGCTGTCCCAGCTGGTGGATGGGGCACAGACGAGACCAGCACACCACGCAGAGTTTTAGATAAACACACGAAGTGGGAGCTTGCTGAGACACTGCACCAGGAGCTGCACAGCTGCCCAGGGTGACAGGAAATGCAGTGCCCACTCCCTGCCCTCCTCACCTCTCGCAGGGGCTCGCTCAGCTCCCCCAGGATGCTCTCCTCATCAAACATCTTCCCCTGGTACCGGTGCTCGTAGTAGTCGTGGATGCGCTGCCGCATGTCTGCCGGGAGCTTGTGGAAGGACATGTACTGCTCCACCTGTTTGTACTGTGCAGGGAGACAGCAAGGGCAGGCATTACCAGGACATGCAACAGATGGGCCCTGCTCATGGACCACCCCCACACCTGCTCCCTTCACACCAAGCCAGGCCCAAGAAGGTAAATCTGATGGAGGAGAGAGCAACTGTCCGACTCCAAGGGGAGTTTGCAGGCTTGGCTGTCATATTCCCCAAAATGACTGCCCCACGATTTAACTCTTAAACTTATCCTCAGCCAGTTACCCTGTGGAGACAGCTCCTCACTCCCTGGGTGTGCAGCAGCCCACGTGTCTGTCCTCCCCTGGGAGCAGAGCTGAGTAGGGAGTGCTCAGCTGGGAATCTCCTCTGAGGAAACAGTGCAAAGACTGTCCAAACTGTGCAGGATGAGAGCAAGGAAAGCACAACGTGCCCCCAGAGCAGGTTTCCCATGGCACACGGCAGAGTGGTGGCCAGGGTATGAGCTGGCAGGGACGTGCAGCACCTCAGGGCATCACTGAGGACAGGACTCACTGTACCAGGGGCCACAGGAAGCAGAGAACACCTGCCCTTGGGTGTGCAGTCACAAACTGAAAGACACACAGAGGACCCAAACCTGAGTTATTTGTCTGAAGCTGCAGTACCTGTGGCCTGCTGTTCCCCCCTCTGTCTGCCCTGCCATGATGGCACCTTTGCTTTCCCACCTAGGGCTGCACAGGTCCTGATTTTCCTCCCCTTTCCTGGCTCCTGTTGCCCCATGCACTCACTCTGTCTAACCCATCCACATTTCTTCCTAATGGTTCGTGTTTCCATTGTGTTAGAGTGGAATACAAGGACATGCTCTGAATGATGCCAGAGCAGGTTTGGGGGATAAACAGTGTTTTCTAAGAATAAATGACACTTCCTCAAGGGCACAGGGCTGTAAGTGGGTCCTCTTGCCCTGAAGGTGCTGCAGGGACAAGGTGTGTGCACTGCAATGGCCACGCTCCCTCTCACTGGTAGGAGTTCAGAACATGATCCTGAGTGTGTACCTGACAAAAGGACCATGTTGCTCCTTTCCTATCCCTCTTTCCCCTCTTCTCCCTGATAAGTCCATCCCTGAATGTCCCTTTGGTGCAGCTTGAGCTGAAGAGCCTATTTACTGAAGTTGTGCTCGTTACAGCCGCTCCTGCACACCCCAGTTCTCTGCTCTGGTACAGCCTGTGCTGGCCCTGCCTCACATGCCAGCTCCACCTGCAACAGGGAGGGGAGGAATTGCTCTGAGAAGCCAAGGTGGCAGAGGGGACACTGGGGCTTTCCTGGCATTTCCAAAGCAGAGGAGCTGACTGTAAATATTCATGATCACTCCAGCCTGATCAAAGTCAAGCGAGTCACCCCGGGCAGAGCACTGGCAATGAACCCTGCACTTAATTATTGGGATTTTGGAGTTCTGCAGGGACTGGCAGGATGCTGTGTCAGGACAGGATATGCTGGGTGCCTCCCATCACCTGGTGCCAGCCCCCTGCCCCTACTCCTCTTCTCTCCACCGTGAGCCCTTGCTATCCATCTTCAACTGGCCTTTGCTTCTTGGGAAAAACACCCCCATAGTTCTCAAATTCACAAGCACAGCTTGGATGGGGTGACTGGGACTCTGCTTATTCACTACTGTACGTGGATTTATTGCTTTGTAACACAGAGCAATAAATTACTGCTCTGCAATGTCCCTGGGGCTTGTCAGATTCTCCTGCCACCGCTGTCCCCAGATAAGGCTCAGAGGGAAAACAGGACGAATTTACTTCACCAGAAATAAAGGTGCTGCTTCTGATTAGAAATTAAAATCATGGTTATAAAAGAAAGCTGTAAAATAAGAAACCATCATTCTCTGTCATCGTTAATGCGAGGAAGGTATCTTGTCTCTCCTGCCTTTGCTATTGCTCCCTCCTCTCACCCAGCCAGCTGGAGGGGCTGGGAGCCCTTAACTCCTGTGGGCAGAGATGGAGTCGGCAGAGATGCTCAGAAATGAAAGCATCAGTCCCTCTTTCTACGTTTGATAAACTGAAGGTTCATGTGGGGTTTTCCCCTTTCCTTGGAGCTGCTCAGCCAGGCTGAAGGCCCCACTCCTGCAGGGTCAAGCATTCGGTACTGTGCACATCTGGCACCCTCTGAAGCCACTTCTTGCCCCTTTCTGTGCCTTTCAGACGTGGCCAGGCCTCCCCTGTCAGCCCCTTTCACCTCCTTCCTCCCTCGTGCTTGTCTGCTCAGTCTCCCACTTGTCTCCATGTCCTCAGCCTGACCTGTGCTCAGAGATTAGTGGCCTCTCTGAGTTCAACTAAAAAGACTCATTTAAGAATTATTTAAATCTCTCTGAAGACAATCAAGTCCATTTAAATCCCAGCTCATTTTCTTAAGTCTGTTTTTCCTCAAATAAGCCCTTGAAGGAGGTATTAATATATCAAAAGGAAACCATTTAGCTCAGTATTTTTGCTTCTATAACTGGCCACTTTTCCCTCGTGTCCTCACCACTCCCCTCCCCTTCTACCAAAGCTCAGATCACTCACAGTCCAAAGGGAACTAAATATTTTTAACTCCTTCCATGCCCTCAGTGCTCCTCTCTCAGGCAGGAATAAACCACTGGCTGAAGAGGCTCAACTCTTTCCTTGTCCTAGTTCTGAATCAGACACATGGTGTGACTCTTGGGGTGTCCTGTGCAGGGCCAGGAGCTGGATGATCCTTGTGGGTTCCTTCCAACTCAGGAGATTCCAGGTTCTATGATACTGTTTGCATCCTTCTAGAAATAGGCTGAAATCACCTGGGACCAGGTTTCATTTCAATCTCAGTCTCCACATCCAAACTCCATGGAAGTAAGTCAACAGGAGATGCACTTGTGTAAGGAAAAGGAGGCTCCAGCAGAGCACATTCAATTCAGGGAAAGATTACAATGCTCTGACAGCATTTCCCATCCTGGTAGGACATACCCTGGGAGAGTGGATTAAGAACCATAGGCAGCCCCTCTGACCAATGCTGGGACTCTCCCAAGTGGAATTTAGTGCTTCATGGGGGAAAGATTGAGTCATGAGATCCACCACACGAGGGTCTGGATGGGACACAGCTGCATCTCCGTTTTATTTTCTCTGATCTCTGATTAGGAGTAAAACAGTGCAGCTCCCCAGCACTCAGTAATCATCAAACCCACACAAATGCTGAGTTCTGGGTTTTTTTGTCTTTCAAACCATTCATATTCCCATGCTCAGGATTTATTCCACATCTTACTCAAAATGATCAGGACACATATTCTGGAGTTGCAGGAGGACTCCAGGAGCGAGTGGTTTAAGGGAGGGAAAGTGAAATTCTCTAACATAATAAAATCACTCTGACACTTCTGATGTGATCTTTGGTGGGTTTATAATTTTTTGCTCACTTTTATAATTTTTCTCTTCCTTCTTCCTGAAATTTTGCTGAGATCTGTAACTGGTGCAGTCTCCCACAGTTTATCCAGAGCCTGTGGGAAGACAGCTGGAGTGGCTGCATGGGGGGAGTTGGGGGAGATCAGAGTGTGGCACAGGCAAATTACAGCAGGTTGTTTAGGAGCCAGTGGTTATTTCAACACCACTTCGACCAGAACAGCTCAGACCACATTGAGCACAGCACCAAACATTATCAGTACTACTTCTGCTTTTTGATTAATGAGCTAAATTTAAAAACCAAGTCTCTCTACTCTTCAGCTTTGGAAGCAGTTTGCATTCTGCAAGAGCTTTATGTCCCGACCTCCTCCAAAGCCTGGGTTAACCTCTGTACCACGGCACTCAATAGTTTTGCCACCAGCAGATGACTTTTCAGTGTTACATGTCACCTGCTGAAAAGCCTGGGACACTCTCACCCTTCCTACCTGGTACCTTCAGAAATCACCTCACCCACAGTTGGGCTCCTTATCCCTCACTGTCATACAAAGCCCATGGACACCAGCAGAAAGTTCCCAGAGCTTTTTCTCCACTTTCTATCCAACATTCATTCCTGAGGGTGGCTGTAACCACCAGCTGCTGCAGCTGCCTCCCCTTGCTGTTCACCAGCACCTGTTCAGGCAAGGATTGTCTGAACAGATAATCCCATTTCTGGGCTGGGAGGTGGCAACAGGGTCACCAGTGAGCCTGATGAAACTCTTTTTTACCTCATCCATCTTTGCTGCAAGCAATGTAAGTGTCTGCTCCCTTCGGGGTTCTGAGGAGAGCAGATCCAAGAGCTCCGGGACAAATCTCTTTGCATTAAATGTTGTGGGCAATGCCCCGTTTGTCTGCTCTTACAGGTGCTCAGACAGAAGGTCTAATCCTGTTCATCCCAGGAAGGTGGTGCAGTGGTGACTGTATTATGTACAAACCTGCACCTCCCAGCTATGGAAACAGTCTGTTTTCCCTGGATAGCTCCAGCCTGGGAACAGCCCCTGAGGAGAAGGCCTCGCTGGGTTTGAGAGGTCACATACCAACATAAGTCCAGCACAGGGCACTTTTGGACCTGGCCAGCCAATCTCCTGAAACTCAGATCACAGGATATTTTGGATATGTCAGGTCGTGTCACTGGATCCACATATCTGGAGTGTGGTGGGGAAAAGGGACTGGCAGTACTTTCATCACAAGAGCAGAACGAGGGAGGTGAAGTGAAATCTGTCACCACCAAAAGGCTGGAGATGGGGACAAGGGAACAGTGAGTGTGTGCAATTGGAAATCAAGATTCCTGGGAGCAGCCTTCTGCCAGGAGAGCTGGCTCGGCGGGGAGGCTTCGCACTTCCACGGTGAGGTATTTATTTATTTATTTAGGTACAGTTCAAGTGCCAAAATTAATTTCAAAACTGATAATGAAGTTTGAAATCCCACACTGGGATCTGCAGAACTGCTGAGGCAAGAACAATTCCCTTTCCCTGACAAGGCAGGCAGGCCCTGTGCGTGCACAGACACTGCTCAGACCAGGCTCCTGTCAGCCGAACAGAACTGTTTGTCTGACTGCCACGCTCACAAATAAGATGTCAGAATCTGAGCTGTGACTGCAGTATATGATACATGTTATA